GCATAAAGAGCTTTACAAAAATACTTCTTGCAGACGCTTAACTCTGTATGTATGTCTCAAAAGGCTCCCCTGGCCGCGCCAGGTGTACACACACCGCGCGACGAACCATCCAGCAACCAGCCACTGCAACACAAACTCCTGGAGCAGCAGCGCTGCTATACAAGCAGCAGCGACCGCTGTAGACGCAGCAGCAACCGCTGTAGACGCAGCAGCAACTGCCATAGCGACAGCAGCACCACACACTGCTGCAGCAACAAAAGGAAGGCGAATTGCTGCAGCACAATCATTGCTGGTCCTGGGAACTGAAGCAAACGCAGCAACTGCCGCGATCCGAGGCACGACACCGCACGTGCTGCTCCTGCCACTGCAGCTGCAGCACGGCTGTCTTTGCAACTCGCACTTTATAGAGCCCATGAGATGCAGTATAGATATATAGATATATATATATATTATATGTATTTGACGAGCGTCTTTTTCCTGCGATTCAAACTGAATATACGCCCAAANATATATATATATATTATATGTATTTGACGAGCGTCTTTTTCCTGCGATTCAAACTGAATATACGCCCAAAGTAAGCCATATACAGATAACACCGACAGGCGAAGAAGACAGGAACGCGGGAAGCTGGCACTACAGCAGCTGCTGCAGCGGCAACAAGAAACTAACACTGCTTGTTTGCAAACACCACCGTGCCGTGTACGTACACCCCAGCGCACAGACATGAACAAAGCAGAGCAGAGCACAGCAGAAGGCACAGTACGGCGTAGCCAGTGCTGCTGCTGTTGGTGCTGCTGGGTCTCTCGGCAGTATAGCTGCGGAGATACGACAAATAAACCGCAGGACGGCGGGCAACCATCGGGATAGCAGCAAAACAAATGCAAAAATGCAAGATATGGCGGAAGTAACAGAAAACCAAACAAACATCATCTGGCTCTCTCTTGCCATCCTCTCCTCCTGAATTTCCGTTATGATTTCTGCTTTACCCTTAGTCCGTTTGCTTTGCAATAAAGTTTTTTTTTAATATCCTCCAGTTTTGTATCTTGTACTGCTTCTGTCTCGTACTGAACTTGAACACAAGTTCTCCTCCTTGCTCTTCTCTCCCTCTGTCCTATGCTGTTATCCCCTCTCCCCCTCTCCCCTTCATCTTGTATTGAAACACCACTCAACGCCTTCTCGTTTTTTCTCTGTTCTTTTCTGTATTTCTTTTTTTCTTCTTTATATTTGCGTCCTTGCATCCCATCCCCTTTGTTTTTTCTGTCCTTTGTCTCGTGCTTTCTCCGCGATGAAAGGCGTTCTTCTGTTTCGTTTCTAGTGTATAGTACTGTGCAATTCAACATTATATAATATACCATTACACTATATAATGTCGTATTGTACGTTGTTCTTTTTTGTATAATGTTTTTTCTTTCCTTTGTTTTGTGCTTTCTCCGCGATAAAAGGCGTTCTTCTGTTTGCGTTCTAGTACTGTGCAATTCAACATTATATAATATTCCACTACACTATATAACGTTGTATTGCACGATGTTCTTTTTTTGTATAATATATATTTCTTTAGAATCGGCAATATTATATAATGCAATATTCCACAATATATTGCATATCATATAATACATAATATCATATAATATTGCTGATAGTTAAACAGGAAACAATCACTTGTTTATACAGATATTGTGGATGAGGGTTCATTTGTTTCTGGTAGAGTTTTTTGTCCTTTCATTTGGGGGTGTATGCGTTGTTTCTTGGTGACTCTCCACAGAATAAAGATAAGTGCATAAACCAGAAATCCCGCAGCAACCATGATCGCATCGACGACAATAAAGTTGTTTGGGGGTTCATATTCTAATACTTTTTTATACCAGAGCATGCTGATGAGAACAAATATTCCTCCTGTTGCAGATGTAAGCCCTGTAAGCTTTCCGAATGCATGTTCAGGGAAGTTGATCGATATGAAACAGTATACATTGCTGAGGACAAATGAGGTGTATATGAAGAAGAAAAACACTGAAATACCCTTGCAAATGAGGCGATCAAAGATTAGAAACAAAAACATCAGCACCCCAGATGAGTTAAGAAGCAACAACACCAATATAATGCCATACTTATCTACCAATCGACCGAACAAAGGACCAGGGATGAAACTAAGAATATTCATTATTGCAAACATCTGATATAAATCCTTTCCTTCAGATGTCACCAGCTGTTCTTTATTTGATTTTGCATAGTAATCTGAACGAACCAGAGCACAAACAAATATCGGCAACAGCAGCAGAAACTTGGGGTCAACAAGCAGCTGCAAGAAAGAACGAGTATCTTTCTGTCTTGCTGCTGCTGCTGCTGCTGCTGATTCTGTAGAAAGGGATTCTTCTTTTTGCGACCCCTCCCTTTGCTGCTCCTCCTGAGGCAGCTCTCCCGACCCTGTTGCTCCTGCTGTAACAGCAGCAGGCGCAGCAGCCTTGAAGGATGCCATGGGGACGAACAGAAGCGTCACCAAGAGAGATATACCCTGGCCAACCCCCACGTAACCTACGCACATCTTCCATAGATCCTCGGGTGCAAAGGAGGAGCCTTGAAATATAGCTGCCATAATAACAGGAATAGCGAAAGAAATGGACCGAACAGATCCCATAATAGAAATTACAAAAGAAGAATTGCTAGGGAACAGCTTGCTTATAGATAAAAGAGGCAAATACCCAGGATCAGCAGCAACACCAATGCAGAAAGCTGCTGCATAATACGCACGGAAACTCTCCCCCGAGAACCCCAGCAACAACCAACCCGCAGTATCCATGATGATACCAAATAATAATGTTATCTTTGGCCCGACAGCATCTAACACAATGCCGGCGAGGAAAGAGGATAGCATATTAGAGCCCAAGGCAGTTGTAAATATGCCTCCTAACATTTGTTTTCTTGCTGGGCAGTCGACGTATTTCTCATCTCCCACGCGCAACTCCGTGATCGTTGAGGGGTCGTCGCATTCCCAAAGATAAGCACCGGACTTGTACAGCATCTCTTGAATGCCATTCCATCCCCAGTAGGTGCATCCCCGTACCAACACCACCAACAAATACAAAAACAACAACAGGTAGCGATTCAGAGGGAAATGCAGACGCAAGGACTTCAAACGACCGCACGTTTCCTTGCCTTCCTCCATCTTCGCCGGGCCGCGATGTGGGTCAAACGTGAAAAGAAACAAAAAGAAAAAACAAGACCCAGATGCAAGTGGTATGCAACAGATACCGGATACACGAACGATACGAAGATACGGAGACCAAGAGAGGGAGGGAGAGACGAATGATGCCAATCAAAGTTAAAAAATCAGATTCTCCCCTTTCTTCTGAAACTTGACGAGACAGAAAAATGCAATCCTGCAGTGTAAGTATAGCCCAGTCTGACCCTCCCTTTGCGCCCGCGCATCCGCCGCTGCAGCAGGCAACAGCGGATATCAGGAGCTAAGAAGGAGTAAGTTTGCTTTTAATTGTGCCTCTTCGTCTTCATGAAGAGACACAGAGAAACAAAATTAAAGGGAGAATTGCAAATATGCTGCAACGAGCATCAACAACATTCGCGGTAAATGCCCACAGCCACAGGAGCCCCACTGTAATGCACAGCGATCCTTCGCTGTCACTACGTATGAACCCTAAGCTATGCGACTAAGAGCACACACTGCCTCTAAGGATCTAAACTCGTAATTCTCGCTATTCACACTATAAAACCCTTTAGATATTCAAAAAGCATTCGAGTTCTCTGATTTCTTCAAAGGGGAAAATCCTCGGAAGAATAGAACTCGTTGAGGGTCAGTATCAGAGTTACAGCCTCAGCCTCACACCCAGCCCCCACGCCGGTGCAGGCTGGTGAGCACTCCGTTCCTATTATACTGCTTTTCTTATGCAAAGATGTCCTAACTCCTGAGATATTCTATAGTATGTGATCCTTTTCATGATACTAGGTCTCTAGAGCCCACCCAGAGGAGCTATTGTAGTGCCCGTGCACTACAACTTCCCCCCTCCTTTCGAACCGAAACCGCCCCACGGTTTCCTTTATTCCATTCATCTTCAACCTCAATATTTTTCTTGTGTCCTAGTTTGCATCTGTATTGGGTTGTTCCACAAGTGTAGGGTGAGGGTTATCTGCTCGGTCAGCAATTTTCCGGTTCAGCAGGGAAGGGTCCTGACTTTTCCACCCTGTGTATTAATTTCATCGGAACTCAGCGGAGACGGCGCTCCTACATCTATTATTGCTATTCCTCATANTAAGGACGACCCTCGGGGGTGTGTTTGCTACTGCTCTGTCTTGTGATGCGACGCACGGCTTTTGTGCTTAGTTGTGTGGAGTTCTGTTACTATCGTGTAGCGATGCGTAAGCCACTTCTTAGGTCGAACTGGCGTTAACGTGAACAAGGTGATGAGCACATGTATTAGGTTTACCAGCACTAATGTTGTTACTATTGTTGACACTGTTCCTACTATTAATTCGGTTGGCGCCAACTATAGAGGGGCCTTGGACCTTGCTAAGTTAGTCATGAAATCTATATTTAGTTCCAGGGTGTTTTAGATCGGTTTCGCCGCTAGTGAGGTGACGCGCCCTAGCATTGCAGCTGATATCCCTACCTCTGATATTGTTTCGCTAATTTTATATTTATTTGTATCCTATATATCTTTTGTTATTTCTATTATTATGTCTTTCTCTTTTTTTTTCCTTTTTTCTTTCTTTTTTTTCTTTTCTTTTTTAATCAGCGCTGACTACTTGTTTCGTTTCCTTCTCTTTCTTCTTTTATTTTCCTTTACTCTTGTACCTACCCTCCAAGTGATCCGCCTTTTGTGTAGGGGCTGTAGTGGGCATGATGTGGTTCTAACTACATGTCTATGAGCTCTANNNACAGGGGGCCTCTGTCGCGCCCCTCCACTTGGGTCCTTTGCTGATGGCTCCGCACTGGTTCGGACCTTAGGCAGTCCGCACCACGTCTCATTCACGACGGCTATCCGCGTGATGGACTGAGGCTTTAGCCGCTCAAGTTTCTCAGACTGAGTGTGGCTTCCCGCAATCCCGGTAACGGAAAACGACTCAGAACAACTCTCCTCTTACGTGCACGCGTGGGGCTGGCTTGCACTAACAGCCGCAACGGGGTGCGCTGCAACCCCATTGCTGGCTGCCTCCTCGCCGCAACACCCAGGCCCTGAGCTCAACGCCCAGGATGCCTAGGGACCGGGGGAGGATGTCAGCCGCTTTTCGGGTACTCTTGCTGTAAGTCTTTCCCTACATTGCGGCTCGCCTCTGGCCAGATAAAGTCCAGACAACAAGCGTTACAGTTGCTTTGGGACTCTTACTTGAAGCCTTTACCTACACTGCATCTCGCTTCTGTCCTTGATTAGGGCCAGAGAGCAAGTGTTATACTTGGTAGCACTACATTGCTCTTCCAGGAAGGTGCAGGCAGGAACCCGAACACCACTGGATTGCCTCAATCATTGCTCTAAAAAAGCAAAGGATAAAATAAAAGAGAACAAAATAAAACCCATTTCCCCTTCGTAAACAAGATCTCTTTCAATTTCAGATGTTTCCCTTCAGCAAACTGGACACTGATTATGATCCGCTGACAGATGGGGGTCGGCGCACGGCCTGGGACCTAGCCGAGTAGAAGCCAGCTCTATATCAGCACCCAATCCGGGTGAACGTGGATCTTCGCCAAAAACAATTCAGGCGGAATGCCTCTGGGTATGCAGCCCCACGCAGTATGACTTGCGCCGGGAGGCAGCAGCCGCAGAGGAGTTCCTTAGTTCCATAGAGTTGTACCTTCGCCTACAAAATGCCCCGTAAGTATTCTAATCACATTTGGCATCCTCGATGGTGGCTACATTTAAGCAAAGTCTCCACCTTTCCGGAGCATATCATGTCCATGCTGGTCTTCCAAGATGTGCTGCGTCGCAGCTTGATCCCGGGGTCTGCAAGGGAGCAGGCTATGGCGGGACTGAGTAGACACAGGCAAGGAAAGCTGCGAATAGAGCATTATATTGAGAAATGTCAGCCTTTGGTTAACAGAAACCCTATTGTGGGTCTGGAGCTGTTCTATAGCGGGTTTATAGCGGGGCTGTCGTCCGGAGAGAGGCAATCAGTAATCGGTTGGGCTACGGGAAAGGAAATGATGGGTCAAAGGGTGAAAGCCACCGGCATGATGGAGTACCTTCGAATAAAAGAAAGAAAAGATTCCACTTCCGCAACCTTAGCCGAAAAGAAAGAAAGCGGATCTGGGAGCGACGCCGATTTGGAAGCTATGGACATTGAGGCTGTGAGCACCAGACCAACCAAACGGGGGGCTAGAAGCAGCAACCGACCGCAGACAATGAACTCAACACCAAGAAAGCAAGATGGAGACGCCAAATGGCGCACTTGCTCCTTTTGCTACAAACGGGTTCACCTATTTTCTAGATGGTATGCTTATGAAAAAGGCTAGGGAACAATTGAAACCAAATCTCGAACAGCGCCACCAAGGAAACAAACAGAGTAATCAGGGAAACGCCGTGGCCCCCACGCAATGTGCGGCGCAGTGATGAGGCCATAAGAGAAAGCGGCAGCACAGGCAGATCCACCTCGAGTCAGCTCAGTGATTATACAAGCCCGCATAAAGGGACAGGAGTTACTAACCCTACTGAATACGCGACGCGAAATGGACCTGATATCGGAAGCCGCGACAAGGAGGTGCAGCCTACCCGCCTATTACCTTCGCCTCTGACACATATTGCCAGGGGATTCATATCGGTGTTCTGAGGCTACGCTTGGCGGGTGGCAGGCAGGATACACGAGTCGGCAAAACTGCTGGCCTAAAACGCTCTCTTAGTTTTCAAACGGGCACATTAATATGCCGAGGGACTTCACCACGACATGATCCTAGGCATGCCGTGGGCGACCCAGTGGAAGGCGCAAATGCGTGCACCTACTACCTCCCCCTCGGACGCATATCGCCGGAGGATTCAGATCGGTGTCCATTTTATTTCGTTGCACTACATAAACTGCTCGAGAAGACGCTAGGAAACGTCGGATATAGAGAGGGCAGGGGATGGGCACCGGCTACCGGGCTGAGGCGGTAGGAACAGCCCGGCCGGCACCCATACCCTGCCCTCTCTATATTACTACTACTACTCCCACTACCATTATTAACCGTGAGCTTGCCACTTGCGTCTCTATACTTCTTTAACAACCGCCGCAATAATCTTTGCCTTCATATCCGCAATACCTTGACCGGCAGACGTGCATCTCCAGCGCCCCTGTCCCTTGCCGATGCCTGTGACAACGCTTTTCTGTTACTTTTTTTTCGTGTGTACAGGTACTGCCCTTTCTGATTCGTGTATATGCAAAATAAACCCGAGACAGCATTATACCGTCACCACCTCTGCATGCACAAGGAAGGTATCCGAATCGCGAAGAGCAACTTGTTGTTTTTAAGGTGCTGCTGCTCCCACTGTTTCTGCTTGCTGTGCCTACTGCTGATCCCCTTCCACCTGTTGGTCGTCCTGCAGCACAAGCCCTGCGGCATCCGACCACTGGTGCTGTTCCGCTACAGTGTCATCGTGTCGCTCTGCTGCTGCATGCGGTTTGCTGCTGCTTGACCTGCTGCTCCTGTTTCTGCTGGGTTGGTAGACATGGCAAAGTCAAGAGAGGTAATGTATGGATAACGAACCCTCGCCTCGACTGCCCAGCAAATGGAAGGTTTATTTGCTCTTAGAGAATCTGTGAGACGCATATCCGACATTCTCTTAACAACTGCATTGTGAAGAGATGCTGAGTTGGACTCGTCTTGCCTGCCTCCTGCACTTCCAAATATATCCGTTACTCCTCTTGTTATCACCATCTTCACGCCGACGCCCTTGGTTACGCGATAAGGAAATAATCCAAAAGTGACGCAAGCACCGTCAATACATCGTACGATCCAATCATATAAATGATATCAGATAAAGCTTCTATCGCCTCCTGTGGCTCAAACGTAAACTCACGATGCGTACACCCTACTTGCTTCGCCACCATACGGGAGCAATCTAAGTCGACAGGTCCGCTCAGGCCTATTGCAAAGGAGTTGATCCTCGGGGTCCAGAAATTTCCGTTTTGTTCTTTGTTGTATCGTCTCTGGTATATTTTGCAGACAACTGCGGTGCTATGAGACGATGCAAAGGAACTTCTGAACGCCCCTGCAAATGTATGGCGGTAGCGGTTGCCTCCGAATCGCCTCGATCTTAGCTGGATCTGGTTCAACTCCCTGCTGCAGAGGCACGAGCCCCTCAGAAACTGATTGTTTGCATGAAAAGTGGACACTTCTGCTCCTTCACGAGGCACTGTTTTCCTCGTAATAGATGCAGGGCACACCGGAGGTGCAGCGAGTGTTTCTGAACACTGCGGGTGAACATAAGCATATCATCAATGTATATTACCATCGACCCCTCGGTGTTTAGCGCCAAGAAGCCGTGAATGACCTGCTGCTCCAGTTTAGCCGGTGTATTCATGAATCCAACCGAGATACATGTGTACTCAAGCTTGCGATTGCGGGTGGGGAATGGCGTCCTGTGCAACTCCTCCGGATGAGTTGGGATCCGCAAAAGTGCTTCAGCGAAGTCAAATGCTGAGTACACCGCTGAATTCTGTAGGCGGGCATGGATGTCGTCGATCCTGGGCATCGGAAACTTCTGTTTCCGATGATTTTGATGATTTTGTTGAGGGGCTTAAAGTCGACGCACATGCGGCACTTACCGTCATTTTTCTTATGCGGTGCATTGGGCGTCCAGCGGGTGGCCTGCCAGCCGGTAGCTCTTTGTTGCTGAATACATGCTTGCGCATGCTTTATCTCTGTAATTATTCGGCATCTTTGTTTGCTTGCAGGCAACCTACCACGGTCAAGCGTACGATCCTGTGCTTGCTGAAGGTAGACAGTGCTACACTTGCAATAGCTAACGAGGCATAAATCATACTCTAGAACCACTGTGAGCTGCAGCAGATTATTCAAAAGAGTTGAAATAAATATAAATAACAACTGAGTCAAAAGACCGAATGTAATATAAATGACAAGGGAAGCAAAGGACTTGCGGCAATATAAATAACAACAGAGGCCAAGGAGTTCGTATAATATAAATAACAACATAGTCAAAAATAATAGTAGACACAAAGTCCTTGAGAAACAAATCTCGAAGAAGAGCTTTAAAGGCCTCCCCTCCAATTCTCCGGTGGCCTGGACCCTGCGGCCGAGCATGCTGCCGTGGGAGAGAGACAGGAGAAAAGACATATTCGTCGTGAGTTGCAGCACCCCTCCTTGCAACTTGCGCTGCCAGGCAACGCCGAATAAAATTGCACCGAAGGCCCCTTTGCTTCATGTACTGAGACTACACAAAGTTGTTAAACACTTCCTTGGCCCGTAGGAGGCAGATTCAACACAGGAAGAAGCACATCAGACAGGTTCGGAGAGACCTGGCCAACACAGGGATTACATCACCATGTGCTGCAACTCAGGACAGAGTCTGTCTCCTATAGCAGAACTTAGCCTCAGCTGCAGCTGATCCAACTAAGGGCGGTGCTGCTGCCTGCGCTTCAAGCACCAGTTCTTAGAGCCTTATTCCCTTGTTCTGCTGTGCATAAGATGCCTCATCTAGACAGGAGGGACGGTCATCATCAACCACAGTTTCGGAACTGTAGTGAACAGTTGTGCTCTAAGGCGTGCTCAGCAGTGTCGATCCTTGACATGCGCAGACTGCACAATCCTTGGTTTGGCTTTCAGTGAGCACTGCGTATACATGATCCATTATATAGTTTGTATTATTATAGTATGTATATAACATGTATACTGTTTAATATATTTATATGTATATAACCTAGGTGTTATATATACGCCTTCATTCATTCTGTTCCAAGCCATGCCTGATGCCAGCAGACTCACCGCATCAACTTAAGGGGAATCTGGAAAGTTCAAAGCGTCAACGGGAACTTAATATTGGCCACAGTAAGAGAAGCAGATAATCAAAACTACTGTTCTCCAACGAGGGCATAATCTTCATCATATTAAGTGAAGGAAATATCCGAATGTTGCTGGTCAGACCAGCAACGTTCTCCTGATCATAGCAAGCGAAGGAGATTTTGAAAACTTCAGAACATGAACAGGAACCAAATCTTGATCATCTGAAGAGAAGGGGATATCGAAAAGTTCAATTAAGCAACAGGGACCTGATCTTGATCGTATGAAGTGAACGGGACATTCACGAGCTCAGCGCAGCAATTGAAACCTAATCTTGAGCTGTGGTTATAGATCACACATACATGGAACAATCAACCGAATGCTGCCAAACACGTGAGCCGGACCCACTGACACATTTCTATTGAATGTATCACAGGTGGCTTTTCCTTAAATGGATTCTGTAGAGCATAAGTAGTTTAACGCAGCTAATGTTCCTTTTCTAGAAGGCACCACGGGAGTAAACAATGCACGTGGCTTTGAAACAGCCAGTGCCAAGCGCCACATAGGTGGTCTACTTAATTGGAGTTGCGACTACAACTTAGGAATAGCGCCAACGGCTGAACCGATAAGCTGAAAACACGAAGAATTTTGGCTGGCAGACGCATGAAAATGTCTGGCAGAAGCTCAACGTTCCGCATTACAGTTGCCATTTAAGGCTGCATAGATAACCGAAATGTGCTTGAACCAGTTGTGAACTGTTTTTCTTTAAAACGAAGAAGTTTACAAGTTTAGTATTCAGCCTGCATTCAGGTGAATGACGCTTGAATATTCTTAAAAGCGTTTTCTTTGCTACAATCGTATCTTCAAAACACAACCTGTAGAACATAACATGTTTTTGATAGTCTGTCGGCCAGCGTTGCCAATTAAGAGAGCATGCTGGCAGTGAAAATCCCAACATATGTCGACGATAAAAGTGCAGTCATTTTGCGTGGGTGTTGAATTGTCACGCAATTTATGTGGATTCAGGTCTTTCTGTTCCAGAAAATAAATAAGAATTAGTTGCAAAGTAGCAGTACTGGACGGCGCGGATGCATAATAGGCTGCAGTACAGAAGTACCCATCTTCTTTGCAGCCAATGCAAGCTATGAATCACATTTATACATGTAAAACATTTATCATCAAAATTGTTGACAAGCTACCAAAGGGCTGTTCTAGCCAGACGCTGGCTAGGACCAAGATAGCTAGAACAATAATCAGCGTCAACTGCAATGGTAAGGCTGGAGAGTTCCCCCAACAACTGCCAACGGTATGCTGCCAAAGTTGCAACACTATCATGGCGGCCTCTACAGCCCAACCAAAAGCACCAACAGGACAGAAATCCCCTTTGCAGTATACGTACATATATATATATATATATATATATATATATATATATATATATATATATATATATATATATATATATGCTGCTTAAATTTGACTGGCTTGTATTCACCGTCTCCCTTGCTGAAGAATATTGTTGAGCTGGAGGAGGTGCTGCCACTTTTGCAGCTCTGCATTCCTCAGAAGGCGTTCCGAAAGGTGATTTTGGGAGCCGCCTTCAGTTTTTTGTTTTCCTGCTGCGACGGTCAACGGGCAGGCGGTTGCTGTTGCGGTGTCTAGACAACCATTAGCGTGCAGATCCTGCCGAATAGGAGATTTACGTGCTGTAAACAGGTATCGATCCTCAGTACCTAGTGCATCTGTGGCTTCGTTCAAGCCATCCGAGTCGTCAGGCATGCAACCAGGATTTGCAGTTGTCCTAAGTGCGCCGTCTATCACCTCCTCGTGGCGGCGGAAAAAGCTGGGGGACGCAGCCTCATTGTGAGTTGACCACCTTTTCGAGGGCAGAATGCCTCCTGAACTCTCTTCAAAGTGACCTGGCAATGATATACGGTCTTCTGAGTGTGAATTACTGCACATATCCGAGGGCGGGAAGCAGCTGTGGGACGCCGATACGGAGAAAACAGGAGCGCCAACTCGCAGTGTGCCTTTGGCCGTGTCAAGGGTTTGGGGACCCTGAAACGTTGCTGCTGTTTGAACTGCGCACCTCTGGGTTGCTGCAGACGTCTGCTCACGCCCTGCGGTGCTATGTTCGACTTCTGCAAAGTTTGGACGCGGAGATGAACCTATCTTCATATTCGGGCCAGCTTTACCACCACGTATTTCTCTGCTGACGCGTGTTAATGTATTGAAATCTGCAGGTGGTTCATCAACGGCTAAAGTTTTCTTTGCGGTCTGCGCTGTAATACGAACGCAGCAGCCAGGCAGCTGGGGCATTGCCTTCCCTTCTTCGCAGTTAGCTCCTCCAGAATCGGCCGAGGTCTTGTGAAGGAGGGAGGTAAACGGAATCCTGGGGGCGCTTGTACTTCTGTGCCGAAGGCGTGTAAGGCGCATGCCTTGAAGAACGTGTCCTAGGAATCGACTAGCACGGCTTCGGCCTGCTGAGGTGCAGCGTGTAGACTTGCTGTCTGAATTGCCAGGCGTAGAAAAATAGAGAAAGGCAGCAGAACGTTCAGCCTGTTCTGCGCCGGGGTGCCGTTCTTCTCGTTGTTCTCCAGCAATTTTGTGGGTGTTTACGTGGCCTTGGTTCGTTGCGCCACTCTGGTGGTCTTCCCTGTCCTGGATGCTGCTGTAAGCGTGCAGTTGAGGTGATTTCCCTGCAGAAGCACAACTTGGAACTTTGCTGTCGTGCGGATTTGCAGCTTGCCGCTTACGCAGTTCACTAGCGGCGCAAGTTGAAGCTTCTCCTCTATCTCGCGCATAGGGATCGTTACTTTCAGCTTGGTGCGTCAGCTCGTTTGTAATGATCATGTTTGCATCTTCATTTGATCTCGTCATCAGTGGAAGCGTTGGATTGTCTGCAGTCCGCCGCTGGATTAAAGGAGAGGGGATCTCTGTAGTGGGAGGGGAGGAAGGGCAGGCAACTTTCAGATCGTCCATTAGTGCGAAATCTGCCAATGATTCGCTGTTGTTGTATGTCTTGTTCGGCGCTTTGTATGCATGCGAGAAATTAGGCTGCAGTGGAAATTTTTTTTCCCCGAGGGGATAAAAATAGCTGTGTATTTGTGGGCCTCTCATTGGCACTTGAGCACCGCCGGGTACGACGCATTGTACTGTATGGATACAAGTACGGAGAGAATGACACAAGCATGGGCTATGCTGCGACGAAACGGAGAATACTGAAGGCTGAGGAAATCCTGAAGTTGATGGTTTCACTAAACAGTTTCTGTCTAGCTCGCTTGTTTTCTTCACATGGTTTCTGGGCACCGAGGGGAAAGCGTTGCTGTCTTCTGTACTTGTTTGTGCTTCCGTTCTTATCGGGTTCGATGGGTAAGAAAGGTTGTCTGCCGTGACAACTGCAGAAGTTTTAGCAGTACGGATGTTCTCATGCAGACGCTCCAACAACTCAAAGGAAGTGGGGGACGAGACCGCGAAGCCAGGCGACGATGGGCCACCAGCGGCGGATCCAAGTGTAGTGTTGAAAGGTCCCTGCTTGACAGAGCGAGGGCTTCTCCCTTCCTCAGCCAGGAACTTTTCGACAGTTACACCCATTGTAGCTGCGTTTGCGCTAGCTCCGTGTCTGGGCTGGAGAAAATCACCAGAATTGTGCCGCACTTCTTGCACACTTTTCCATTCTCGTTGTTCTCTCAACTTGAGTGATATGCTAGCGCCTCTAGAATCCTTTTGTTGACAAAATGTGTCCACTGAATTTGCTGCGGATTCCGCAGATTCATCTGCGCAGCCACCTTCCTTGCTGGTATTCTGGAAAGAAGTATTTGGAGGTTGCGGCGATCGTTCGTTGGAGACCACAGATATCAGTGTGCCGTTATTCGGTTTTTGCATCATTGGATCATTCTTGCTTGCCTTATGTCCCGTTTGCAGCCCTTCCTGCCGGTTAGAAGAAAAGCAGCTATGACTATTGGCCGACTTGCCTGGCGATACCGCCTCCTCTTGGTTGCGCGCACAGGATACTGCCCCTGAGTACCCACCAGCTCGTCCAACATTGCTTTCATCCTGTATGGCCCTCGATGAACCTTCCGTAAATGGATCACAAGTGTGGTTGCATTGTTCGTTTGCACGTGAAACCGGCTGGCACTCGTTAGCCCCAATTTTCACCTCCCTGGGCCCGGTAGCCGGTGTTGTGTCCTCCGGTCTGCTCAATTGGCAGAAAGGGGAGACGGTGGCCTCAGCTTGTGAATAATGAGCTAACTGCGCAAGGGCTGGCGACGCTGGAGCCAGGAACCCTGGGGATGAAAAGCATCTGACTTTTGCCCCCTGTGCGGGGCACACCCCAGAGCACTGTCGCGATATACAAATGCGTCGTGATTGAGGATCTTTCATCCCTGCTACTGAATCAGCGGCCTCCACCTCCCGTTCATTCATCGTGAACCGTTCCTGTGAGCGGCTCCCGCTCACACCGCTGCCTGCGTCGGCGGAACCGTCATCGTGTAGGCTGGAACGCCCGCGTGAGTTGCCTCCTATAGGCCTCTGAGGGCAACAACTTATGTGGATGGCCACAGAACACCCTTCTTGGAGGGCAGAATCAGGGGCCATACTCCCCGTTATGGATGATGGATCTGCAGATGGCGATTTGATTGCTGCTGCAGCGCGTTCAAAAGCCTCGGAAGCGGAAATACCACATGATCCATTGTTCGATACGCTTTTTCCAGAATCCCAAAAATCGCCTGATGGAGCCGACAACTTGTGGCGCTCAGATGCGGCTGCCTGCTCAGGTGTCGGCTTCCCGTTGATTGTGTCGCTTTCACGCCCAGGCATATTGGCTTCGAACCCAGAGCATTCATTCTTACTAGGACGGGTACATTCAACAGTGTCTTGGCTGCTTGAAGCAGCCGGATTTGCGTAGGAGCACTGGATGTTGCATACGCCTCTCCCAGCAAGTCCGCAAGTGACGACTTCGTGCTTCCCCGGAAAAAAAGACAACTGCGGGGCGTTATGATGCTGTGGGGTTCGCCTGTTGCTATAAGGGGAGGGGGAGGGCCCCAGCAGTGGACTGAGCAAAAAGACAGCCAATAGCCAAGCTTTCCAGCAGGCAAAATAGAATTCATGCAGCAGGAGAGATAAATTGCAGACCGCTGTGAGGTACGTTCTTCTGGGGTGTGTGCAGCAAAATTGACCTGGCTCTTCTTGTCAAACATGATGCAAAAACCTTCCTATCAGCACGCAAAGTGCTTTCAAAGTTTATCACGAAGGCGACGCAATGAAAGCGGTAGCAGCTTAATGTGTAGGCAATAATGTAGACGCTGTCAGATTTCCCACGAGGGGGAGAGCTTCGCTGGGAACTATGGCTTAATAGGAATTGTTTGCAGTGCTTCGTCTAGTGCTTCTATTAGCTATGTACCTTTCCTGCTTCCGCGTCGAGGGGTGGAGGAGGTCGCCCACCTGATTTTCCATGGTTTGTTTCCCCCCACATATTTGTTGACATTGCGGGTCTCCAACATGAACAGCCGGTGGGTCCTGGTGCTGCTGTGCCTTCCGAGCCGGCCTGTCTGAAGCCGTAGGAGAGTGTATTTGCTCCTTCAGGAAATGTCTACTTCCACTCTGCCCTAGCTTCTCATGGTGAGAAGAGCCTATACGAAGCTTAAATGGTGGGCTAGTCCCTTGCTGATCTTGGCTTCCTGATGTTTCCGTCCTATCCACATCCCTGAAGGAGGGTTGAAACTGTTCTCGATTCCGTCTTCGGTGATAGGTGAAATATATGTGATCGTCATTGCCGCTTTGTATACCTTCTTTTGCTACGTCAGTGCTTGCTTCACAGTCAGGAAGGCTAGAATAATCCTCAGCACCTGGGGGCAACTCTGTGCGATGATGCCGCTCTCGTAGCCACCTACGGCAATTGCTCTTTGAATGCGCTTGTCGCTCGGCGAAAGCATGCAGGGCCTGCGCCTGATTCTCCCCCAAAGCTCGGCATTTGGATTTGCAAACGTGGTCGGCCTCTTGGGACACACAGACACAATGGTGGGCCACTGCAAGCTGACAGTGCCTGCTGCATGAGGAGGACGCAGCTGCTTCCCTTGAACAAACTTTGTTCAACCCAGTGAACGGGACGAACCTGAAAGCTCGTTTCCCTTTCTTTCACCTTTGTGGGTGACGCCCATGGATGCGTCAAGGTTTCGCTGTATTCGACAGTATGGACCCTGCTCCGGACACCTCAAGCCATCGTCACCGAGACTATCCAGTTGGTGGGGACCTATTTCACACAAAACAAGAGGTGCAGTTTACTACTAGGGTCTGCCTTCAAAGTTTAAACCATTTTTCTAGGCTTGTCTGGACTCCCTAGTCAGTAAACGTTCTCAGACTCACCGCATTCATTGAAACCTAAACCGGGAGAGAATTTGGCCATTGGCCCATTTGACGTTGCAGCTCTGGCTTGCCACAGCTGCCCCTGGGCCCGATTCGTCAAGTGCTCTTCGGCAATGCAGTCAGCCAGCCCATGATGACACGCTTTCATTGCTGGGCCATTGACTCTGCCCCTACAGGATTTGCTGACACAGTGCACTCCAATATCTGAATTTTGTGGTCGTCTGAAGCAAATCGCCCTTGTTGTAGGCTCCACGACCACCGAAGGACCTGCATGTTCATCTACGAGTCTGCGCTTGTAAAATACTGTTCGGAGTTCGTGACTATCTGTGAAGTCGTCGCAGCGTCCAGGTAAGCAACCTTCTCTTCCCACAGTATGGGTATATTTGGACTGTGTAACATCTATGGGAGACGAATCCCCCAAGATAACACTCTCTTTTAGGAATTGTTTTGATCTTGCATTGCTGGACTCCGTTCCAGTCAAGCAGTTCCTGCCAATGCAAGCGCGTTTGACAATTGATTCCTGGACAGCTGAAACATCAAGATGGATAGGCTCTTTTGCCCAGTCCCGCGAGAAGCCAGACAAACGCTGGGGTCCGCGTGCCCCCAGAGGGAAGCAACCTAGACCATCAGGTGTCTGCACCTCCGAGGAGAATGCGCCGTCTTTAACCTCCACATAGAAACTATGTGGAGGATACGAGGCAGCACTTAGACAGCTTGTAGGAGTTGCAGAAAGAGGACAAACGCGCGGACAGGCCTGAGTTGCAACTTTTCGGCCTGCATGGTGTACCACTCCTGCGTCTCGCGCCAGCCATGCTCCATCTGAGTTGGGCAAAAGAGGGAAACTTGCGCCCATCTGCCCACTTGCAGCACGAGTTGCCTCAGGCTTTGGAAGCAGGTGTGGAGTACGCAGAGGCATCTCAAGAGCCCTGCTGGACGGATGTGCACTGGGTCTTGATGATGTTTCTGCACATCCCACAGTGTTCGCTGCAAGGAAGCACCTGCTTCATACTATGATGGAAAGCACTTTCCAACTAAGGCTGCCGAACATTACGTGAGGCAGGTCAAATGGGCATTGTAACGTTGCCTTTTGGCTTACGGGAATCTGCCTCCCCCCTGCACCCTTGTACTCCTAATTTATTTGGCGTCCAGCGGAAATTGTCGCTACTCGCGTCCAGTTTAGGCGAATCTTGATTCGCAAGCGGCTGGCCTTTACAGTCAGCGCCTTCAGTATAAGGAGTTCTCTGTTCGAACGATTCAGGCTCTGTCCGTGAACCGTTTGCTTCCGCAGCTAGCGGAACGCCCTGCAGCGTAAAATCCAGCAAGCGCAGTTTTCACCCGGCTTACGCTTCTCGAATATAGTATCGATACGCATGCCTCAACACACGCCACTTTGACATGATGCCGCTACGGACAGCCAGCTCCTCGTACGGTCCTTCCATGAGCATAATATAGTGACCTCACAACAGGAATAAAATCCGCCTATCTTCTCCAATCCAACAGCTACGCAAACCAGGGCTCGAATGCAAAGAGCGCTCCATCTAGCGTCGAATATCCAGGGCTGCCTTACTTGCCGCGGGTAAGCGTATCCACATTCCTTCTGCTCACGATCGAGCGCGACAGGCTTCTCCTGGGGCACATATCTACACACACGCGTCCCCTCTTATGTTGAGCTCAGTACGACAGTGGACAAACTCTCGCCTCCTGCTGATGAGCGTCGTGGCGCTGCTCGTCGATGCTGGTGTACATCTGCGTGCTGACTGCGGCTTTCCTTCTCTGCCGAATTGGTTCGGGTAAACAGCACGCGTTGTCTAGGATCCGTTATAA